TGATAAGTTGTATTTTTGGCATGTTAATTGTCATGTTTTCCATACTTTTCGGTGTTTATTGGAGTTTATTTATTGATTTTAATTGAATTTTATAATTTATGTAGGATATCTCGGAATTTGGAATTTATGATGATTGGAAGGCGAAAGAGACGAATTTGAGCTAAGGCGTGGGCACGCTAATTTCCTACAAGAGTTAGAAGAAGGAAGGAGTCTTGAGTTGGAAAGAGAAATAAAAGACTTTATGGAATTTATTTATTTATAGACTATTTTAATTTATTAGGATATTTTTGGAGAGAGAAGATTATTTTCTACGTATTTCTTTTGGGATTAGGATTAGACTGATAATAAATCAGACTGCTAGGTATTATTTTTCTCTCTCTTCTCTTCCTCTCTCCATTCAGTTCACGTATTATTTTTTTATCTGTTCGGCCGAACTGTTCTGCTTGGCGATCTGCTTGGGACGACACAGACAGAAGTTCTTCTACAGTTTATTTTATTTCTACTGTCTTCATTTATTTTTAGATGAATATTATGGAGAAGACTACCATGTTTATGGATAGCTAAATTATTTTCCAGCCAAAGGATTATTCATGATTTGGTTCTACATGATTTGTGAGATCTAATTGTGTTTTCAATTCCCTATTCTTTTTTATTCGTATGTCTCTTGTGTTTATTATCAATTGTTATTTTGATTGATTGATGCAAAAGAGCTCTTGTTCAATTATCAGAATAGCATATCGCCATTTAGGACATTAAATCCGTAATTGTTTGATTGTTCTAATATTGGTGGCGAAGAACATAGTTGATTACTAAGGGTTTTCGATTTTATGTTTAGGGAGATATATGATCTAGTCTAAATGATCCTACATGTGTGTTTGTTGGCTAGAATTGGTGATCCTTCTAGTTTTAATGCTGTTGATAGATTAAATCCTATGATCGTATCTAGGACTGTCTGTTGATTGGAGAAATAATTAGAGATCGTATCCTGATTATCGAGCAAGTAAGGAAGGATAGGTTATTAGGTCGTACCAATAACCATAACCAGTTTAATTGAGAGTAGGAGAATTATCTTTGCATCTATGATCGAATCATTGAACCATTTCTACGAATTTTTCCTTTGGTTGGATATTTTATCTCCGTGATTTACTCTAGTTAAATCTTGAATCTTTCATCTCCGTGTTTATTTTAGTTGAATTTAATTTTTATTATTTTAGGTAGTTCGATCAATCCAAAACCCCCATCTTTTTATTTATTTGTTATTCCTTCACGAAACAGTTGCATCAACTCATTTCATCCAATCTCTGTGGATACGACCCTACTCATTGCTACTACAATTTTATATTTTAGACGAGTAGGAATTTATTATTGTTGGTTTCGACTCCCACCAATTGCCTAGGGCTAGTAATTTCATAAGATAGCGAGATTTGATACCAAAGTTGATTAGACGAGTCGGTCGAGGGTGTAGACGAAACCGTGAACTAGAAGCTTTCTCTTAATTTATTTATTTTTTTATTTTTATTTTCATTGTTTAGATATTATTTGCTTTATTAAGATTTTAGTTAATTTAATTATTAAATTCAATCCCCCCTTTTTATCGCTTTTATAATTTCAATTAATACGATAAAATTCACAATTTGATTCACACTCCTCGTGGGATCGACCATTACTTGCCGCTACTACTAGTTAGTAGAGGTTAATTGAGAAAAAATATAAATTATAATTTTGCCGCGTTGCGACGCGCAGTCAAATTAGTTTTGACCGCGTTGCGACGCGCGGTCAGCTAATAATGATCTAAGGATTTTATCATATGTGCGAATATAAGATAAATGCAAATACATAAGATAAAGTTATGCCTCAAAATAATATAACTTCCAATAAATTGTCTTTAAAAGTAAAAAAAGATCCAATCAGATTGGAACACCGGGTACTCTACTCTAACAAATATTCCATTGGAATGAGTTTTTTATTAGAATTTAGTTGGAATTTGATGGTTCCAACGACCAACTTTTCAATAATTTATTGCTGTAGAAAATTTTTCAACGATTTATTATTGTTAGAGAATCTATTGTTGGAATTGTTAAATTACAAAACTTTGTGAGACAACCTAACTATTACGTGGGTCGACTTGTCGTACTATTTGAATAAAAGTAATATGATAATGCTATCAAATGTCATACTTCTATTTGTATTATTTATAAAAATACGATATTTTTCAAATAAAAATGCACATTTGTGAAAAAAGCATGTCGATCTAACATAAGATCGACCGGATAGAAATGAAAGAGAATGATATATGAACTTAACAAAATATTCTTATTTAATTTAAGATAAAAACTATTATCAAAAGTTGTATACTATTTCATAAAGTTTAACTGAATTAAAATGAAATAGAAAGGTTAGTGACAAGAAAAAAAATGCTCTTTTACATGTTTATTACATAGTTTTAGAAGTTTTTGCTAAAATCTTTCCAAATAAAATCATAAATAAATCACATACAAGTCATAAGAAAAATAAAAGTTAAAAATCAATGACAAAAATAAATCACAAATCAACAATTCATAAACATTTAAAGTTGTTATATCGATAATTAAAAAAAATAAAAAATTTACAAATCAAAAGGGATATGTAGATACATGGAGTAATTTTCTTAAAAAAAAAAAAGTCACTTTCATGTTTCTTACAATTTTTGAATTCTATTTTCTTAAAATACGAAATAAAATCATATATAAATTATTCACAAACGAATCAAAAAAAAAATAATAAAATCTTGAAATTAATAAAAAAAAATAACTATAAATTAATTATTCATAAATGTAAAAATTAGTTTATTAATAATTAAAAACTAAAACTTTGTAAACATACAAATAAATAGGATTTAAGTTAATCAGCGTAATTTTTAAGATGTAGTGTATGGGCTTCAGTACTGATCCGTTCTTGTCGTTGCTCAAGTGGGCCACATATATAAAACCCATTTGCGTGTCATTGTAAAGCCCGATATCTAAAATATATCTCTAGAAATTGAGTAAAATGATTGTGTTGCCATTTAACTCTTCGATTTTCGGGCTATTTTTACACATTAATTTATAATCGTACAGCTTTGAAGTTAAACCTAAAAAATCTGAAGAAAAAAAAATGTCGATTATATCGCCTTTCTGTGTGTGAGCTTCATCTTTTTGGCTCGTGAAATCTGTCAGATGAGGTGCGTATCTTCCTTGATTTACATCTGCATTTCTTTCTTTTTGAACTTCGCAGTTTAATATACTTGTTGTGTCATGAACATTGTTCGGTGATTTATTTTGGGAATATATATACATATATGTGTGTGTTGAGCACAATGGTGCTGACTGCTGAGTATGATTAACAGCCTCATCCTTTTTAGCCTTGATGTTTGAGTTTATCATTTCTTAATCTATGGCTTTGACCTGTACTCATGGTTTTCAATGCCGTGGTTAGGGTTCAGAGGAGGATTTTTCTTCATTCTCCTTTTTTTTTTTTTAATTGGGTGCACGTTTGTGTTTCACGCAGTTGTGTTAATATTTTTCTTGTCTGATCGGAATTAGCGATTTGGTAGAAGGCTCGAATGCTTTGCGGGGACTGGATTTGTGGGTAATGATATGGTTTGGTGTATAGAATTGAGCTATTAGAGTACTAGAATTTCAGCTGACAATGAATGAACGAGAAAGATCATAAGGAGGCTAGTAAAAAGTCCTTTGCGATTTAGCTAAAATGTGAAGAGATGGAAAGTAATGGCACCACGGGTCTAAATATTTCTTGTTCCTGATTTGTACATATCCTGTGCACTCTCTTTCTGTAAAAGTAGAGGCCCAGTCGCTTTTACTGTTAATGTACATCTATTATGTTAGGAAGAACAAAAAAAAATGAAAAAAAAAGGTTAAAAAGTGGGATGAAAAGAGACCAAAGAGAGAGATACCGGTGTTGAAGTAGAGACTATTTTGTATTCTGGGCATTGTTATTTTATTTTGTTTTAGTTTTCTGGAAAAATTAGCAAGTTTTTCTTCCAAAAGAATAATTTTCCGGCATGCCCAATACAGTTCTGCAACTATAGATTTCCTTTGTGATTGCTAGTAAACATGTACTCTTTGCTCACTGCTTATAGACTAGTTATCTATATTAGAAGCACATCGGTGTTGGTGATTGCCATTTCAAGTCGAACTATCTGCCGAGTTTTGTAATCCCCCCATTAAACATAAAAGTAACGGAAAGCACTCGTGTTTGTTCTGCACTTCTGGGAAATTTGTTTTTATCCTATATTATTACAGGCATCCTATAAAGTTTAATCTTTCTCTTGAATTTTTTTTTTTATTTCAGCGGGAATAAGATCAGTCATTAATTTATTAAAAATAATTCTACAAGCCATATGCACACTTCCATCTAGATTTCCATCCGTGTGATGTGGCATGCGCTAGTGGAAGAGCAGAACCAACACTTCATCCGCATATCCAAGTTTCTCGGTGAAGATCAACCCAATGTATTTCTAGCTTTTCTTTCAATCAATGACTGAACAATTTTCCTAGAAATTCAAGTCGAAAATTTGTCCCCACTTTCTTCACACAGCAGAGAGTGGTTTTTCTGAATTGCTTTTGCTAATTTTTTTCCAGATGGATATTGAAGCTGATGATCAGCAAGCCAAGCAAGAGCGCCTGAGAACGAGATGGACACCCGATCTTGATAGGATTTTTGCAGACATAGTTGTGGAGCAAATTCGGCAAGGGAACAGGTCCAACAATGTATTTGACAAGAAAACTTGGAACCAGATACGTGAGGCATTCAATAGACAGACGAACCTTAATTTCAATAATAATCAATTGAGGAAGCATCTCGATGTTCTTCGGACACGGTATCACAATTTGCAGTCCTCCTTTAACCATAATGATGCCGCCATTCAGGACAATTGCTTTTTGGGATTTGATCTATGGGAAGACATTGGGGTGCGTATATTTATTCTATATCTTTTGGTTATATTTCAACTATTTTTTCATGGAAAGTGCTATTTTCATGAAAAATGATATTTTAACAATTAAAAAAAAATGTGGCACGATGTTTGACATAAAATATGAATTATGTCAACCTTTATGTTAGTAAAGACTAAAGAATGAACCTACTTTCTTACATCATTAGCTCAACCATTTTGCTCATAAAATACTTCGTGTATTTCAGGCAACATCTAAGATCGAGCCAGTAAAGACCAAGGAATGCCCAATTTATGCTCAATTGTGCGTCATATTTGCAGACTCGGGAGTTGATGGAAAATACGCGCAATCGAGCCATTATGAGGAGCTGAACAAGTCTGGAGGTCTCTTCCCGTCATTCCTAGAAGGATTTTCAAGCCCACAACTCCCCATGACCCCATCCACGTCAAAATTACCAGAAGAGAATGGATTTTCACCCATAAACAACATCAGCAAGAACACGGCTGGAAATAATAAGCGAAAGCGTCCTTCAGAAGCCGGTCAGCCACCTGAACAAACGAGTTGGAATCAAGAATTAAGCGACTCGATGGCGGAAGCCATTTCGTGTATGATAAAGAATTCCTCGAATTTGCGAAAATCGATGAATCCTATTGTCGACGAGAGATTTTCTATCAGCAGCTGCATGAAAGTGCTGGACGAGATCCGAGGTATCGAGGACGGACTTTACTATGATGCTTTGGATGTTTTTGAGAATCCGAGTTTTAGGGAGACATTTATTTCGCTCGGGAACAATGATGTTCGGCTAAAATGGTTGCAAGGAAAGTGTGGGAGCTTGCCACATGTATCAGGTCTGCATAAGTTTTAATCAGCAAGAACTTTTTTTGAGTTTTGAGGGTGGTTTATGTTGTGCTCGTGTCATGTGAAATGTAAAGAACTTGCTATTCACGATGTTTTGGCTTGTGGGATCAAATGAAAAATAGGTAGTATATAGTGCAAGTTACATTGCTGAGGTAGGCTTTTGATATGTGGTTTTTTGTGATGTAAATAACACATCCTTTTTTTGTGCTAAAGGTACTTGATCGATATATTTTGGTTATCAACACTTTTGGTTGTGTCCTTTGGTTGGGACCATGAGTTTATTGACGCGAGCTTAATACAATTTGATGTTTCGCAGTGGGGAAATATAATTTGAATTTGGAAATGTTCCAACACTACTATGGTGGTGCCAAGTACTAGTAAAAAAGATGGGAAAATGATACTCTATCTACCGAAAAAAAAAATGAAATATCATTTCTGGACATTATAATGAACTACAAGCTGCTATTAGTAATTTTCACTATTTCTCGAACGCGAATACTTTCTGCTTTTTTTTTTATTTTAATTAGATTATACAGAATTTTAAGCAACAAGAAGTCGATATGTCCGAGTGGTTAAGGAGACAGACTTGAAATCTGTTGGGCTTCGCCCGCGCAGGTTCGAACCCTGCTGTCGACGATTCCTTTTTCATTTTTTGGGGGTTTGATTTTTTTTGTTAATGTTGAAGGATCCATTTGCCTTTTTTTCCATTTCCTTTGGGGCTTATTTATTATTTCATTTTTGTGTGAAACATATTTTGATGAGGTAAAAGGGTGTAGGATTCCAATAACAATCAATGATAAAAAATTTCCATTTAATCAATGTCCATCTCCTATTATTTGAATAATGATGTGATAAAGTAGTATAACTTATAAAACAACGTAAATAAATTCTAAAAAATAAAATACAGTTTTTTTTTTAATAAAAAGAGAGTGTAACTTACAACTTTTTATTAGAGTATAATATATATTTTTTTTAATAAATGGTCAGATTGATAATCGTATTATATTAATAATTACTTACAAATTATCAGGGTAAAATATACAATATCCCCTTGTATTATATGAAATCTGCGCATTTTTTCCTGCTATTTCAAAAATTACATCAAAATCCCTTGTATTCAATTAATAGTAGCACGATTCCTCCCTCTCCGTCTAATTTGACGGTGTGTGCAGTACACATGTCCATATTGCAACAATTATTCATTTTTTTTTTTTACATCAAATTAAAATTACTATTTTGTCCATTGAAAAAAGAAAGAACAAAATTCCCAAAATAACCTTAATTCATCTTCTACCTAAAAAATTCCCAAAAAAAAAAAATCTAAAAAGTAAACAAAAATTTAAAATTGTATCTCCTCTGGCGTTGCTGCTCGACGTCGGGGAGCTCGAACTCCGATTCTTCTACCGAGCCCTCATCACTGAGTTCGTCGCCACCCTCGTCTATTGCACCGTCAGGATGTCAGGTCCCACCCCCGAATTCGAAACCCTAGATCTGAAACAAAATCTCAAGTTCCACCCACAAATTTTCAACGGAATTTTCAATGTTGCCGTAGGAAGCAGCAGCAAGAGAAGAGCCTTCTCTTTCACTTTTTTTCCTGTCGTATCTGAAACAGGGAGAAGCCGCTGGAGCTCCTTCGCGAAGGTACTGGAGATTGTACGAATTTCATGAACAACTTGGGAATATCCTGTGAGTTAATTCCTAAGCCGGTATCTTTTACCTAAATCATTATTACAAACATGTTTATTAGAAACTTCTAATGATTTAAAAATCAATTTTCCAGCAAAAGCACATCAATATAACAAGCATACAAAAGAAATTAAAAAGGAAACAAACCTCTATGCGCAAATAAAAGTGATTATCACTAGGGACAGGAAAAAAGTCGGGGCCCGAGGATCTCTTAGAGATTTTGCCACAAAAGCAGTTATGGAGATACCACCCTCTTTCGTGAACTTGACAGCCGACGTCTCGATCGAGGAGACCCCGGGCTCCCTCAGATCATCACCACCGTCGACGACATCGACCGCAAAATCTAGGCCGTCGCTAATAAAGGCTCTGTCGTCGTACAAATCAAGGGAGAACTCTTGTGGCGGCGGCAGATGGAGGCACATATTTTTTGGAGAACTCCTCAGCCATATAGCTCATACGCAGATACCACATATTTGCTCCTTTAATTTGAAATCTGGTTTTCTTATTTTTTTATTTTTTTTTGTCTTTTTATTTTTTGAAAATTAGGATTTTCACCCTTTGGAGAAGAACAGGAAAGCTGAAGAGAAAATTGGTGCTCAAACTCAATTGACAAGGACATAACATGAAGTTTGATAAATATGTAACGGTGTTAGCACTCGGACACAAGTTGAGGAGCATTAACTGGCCTACACTAAATACAAGAGGGTTTGACGTAATTTTTAAATTACAAAGAAAAAACACGCACATTTAGTATAATACAGAGAATTTGGTGCAATAAACCCCAAATTATCAACAAACTTTTAGAAGCCCTACGCTAGAATGGCTGTACCTTTCCACACAATAAAATCTGTCCCCTCTCCAAATCCAAATAAAAAAAATTATTAAAACGAAAAGGAAAAGGAAAATTCAAACCGCGCACAATTTGGTCCCTTGCTTTCTCCTCCTCAGCCTTACCGACAAACTAACGGCTCATCGGCGTTCCGCGGCGGCGCCACTTGCTCGCACGGCGGTGCAGTTCAATAGTGAAGCTTTTGAAAACGAATACGAAGCGTAATCTTCTTACTTCACTTCTGTGGCGTTCTCCAACGGCCTTTTTTCCCCTTTTATTCAGCTGACCTTTTCACCGTAGGATCTCTGTGTTCTGTATGTATAGATGAATATTGACAGAATTTTTCTCTTCGATTTACTCATATTTTGCTCAGAAGTTGGTATTTTGAGGACTATGTCCTGCTGTTTGAATGATATGTGAAAATATCTGAATATGTTGCTTCTAAAAGAAGTGAATCAGTGTCCTTGATACCTTTTTCTGATCGGTGGTATTTATATTGGGACCCTGATTTCTTGAATTGAATTTTCAATTCTTCTCGTGATGTGCTCTGTCCTGGATTGATTTGTATTGTGGTGATGAAAAATTAGAAGAGTTGATAATAATGGTAGTTGATAATGGAAGTCATCTTTTCTATTCTATTTCTCTTTTTATCTTTTGCCAGGTAGAATTTTAGTTTGATGCTGAAGAACAAAACTTAACATAAAATGAGAGCGGTGTAGTATGATTTGCAAATTTGATGTTGTAATGGTGGATAATTGAGTTAGAGCCCAACAGATTTAGCTATGATCTTAGTTTGTTGTTAGAAAGTGTTTTAAGTGAGAACTCTGTAAATAACGAAAGATTTGTCGTTTATTAATCTATGTAATCTATGAATCATGCTCATTCATCCCACCTAGCGAGTTGCTCGACTTGACCTAACAAATGTCTCAAATATGTGGCAGGGACTCAGGATGATTGGATCTTTGATCACTAGGGTACTTGTGTATGTGTCACATCCATGTCTTTGCTCATAAAAAAAAAAAAAAAATGTTAATTCCCTTCATTTCTGCTGTGTATATTTCTTAATTTCCACCCTTGTTGCAGGCTCATATTTGGCTATGTGTATCCCGCGTATGAATGCTTTAAAACTGTGGAAATGAATAAGCCCGACATTGACCAGCTTCGTTTTTGGTGTCAGTATTGGTATGCTAATTGCTACTTGTTCAACAAATTATTTTCTCCTGCACATAAATTCGGCTACAAACTATTACTTGTAACTACAATCTGAACTTTCAGGATCTTGGTGGCCGGGCTGACTGTTTGCGAACGGGTTGGTGATACATTTATTGGCTGGTAAAAACATTTCTAATCGTTCAGACACTACAAAAGCTTTCATGCTTTTTCTGTATTTGTTTTGAAGTTGTTTTGTGATGTTGTTATGAAGGGTTCCAATGTATGGTGAAGCTAAATTGGCCTTCTTTATATACTTGTGGTTTCCCAAAACTAAGGTCCGTGATCATATCTGTAACCCTTGGGTGTTGTTAGTTAGTTAGTTCCTTTGTAGTGTTTCAGTCTAATTTAATTGTATTCTTCTTCACAAAATTAATTTCAGGGTACAACATATGTTTATGACTCCTTCTTTAGACCCTATGTGGCGAAGCACGAAACAGAAATTGACCGTAGTTTGTTAGAACTGAGAACAAGAGCTGGAGATATGTTGGTCTTGTACTGGCAGAGGGCTGCCAGCTATGGTCAGACTAGAATTTTCGAAATTTTGCAGTATATTGCTTCACAGTCACAGTCAACTCCTCCTCGACCAGCTCAGGTATGCACTGAACTGTAAACAATTAAATGATGTCAAAATCGAGCATGCCAGCTGTGTTTTTTGGATCGGATTTGTGATAGAGTTTGCAGCGCAAATGACTGCCAGTAAATCGATTCTAATTTCAAATAGTTCAGCATGATGTGCCCTTCTGTTAGTTTACATTCATAACAAACAACAACAACATAGCTTTTTAGTCCCAAGCAAGTTGGGGTAGGCTAGATATGAAACCCAAGAGAACCAATGGTAAGAGAAACACAAAAAAATTCAAAACAAAAGGAAGAGATTGGAGCAAAAGAGAAAGGAACAGAAGTTACGGTTCTGGCACGTTGATTGCTAGCCTCCAAGCGCTCCTATAGTTGTATAATTTTAACTGTAGCTTATTGATGCAGCTTATTGAGTCAAAACCCTTGATTTCCTTCTTGCAATTCAAAATTTCTGAGTTAAAATTACTTTTCTTCTATACATCAATAGTTGTATAATTTTTACTGTACGGTTGATTAAGTGAAATGCGAGATTGACTTACATGGTTTGACCTGAACCACAAAGATCATTTATAGTAAACCTAGCTCGTAAGCTAGCTTATAGCTTTTAAGTGATCATTTAGTAAAATTTTTAAGTGATTAGCTGAAAATCTAGATAAAAGTGTGTGATAAAATTACTGAAATAAAAATTTCAATAAGCTTATTTGAAAAGTTACCCAAGGAAGCTTATGAGATAAGCTCGAGTTTTTTTTTTAAAAAAACTCGTCCTACCAAACCAAGCTTGTTTGAATACAGGAAGCTTATAAGCTAATCAAATAAGCTATAAGCTAGCTTATATACTTACTAAACACAACCTTAATTATCATCACTTATAATGAATTAGTATGTTCAACTCGTGACATATTTTCACCTTTTGCTTTTCTATTTTATGTTTTTTTTTTCTTCTTTCTGACCAGAAAAAATCCAATTTGCCGCCTAACCCGAAACCCGCCGCCACAACTCCACCACCGAACGAAGCCCAATCCTCTTCTCCTTCCTCAGACTCAACATCCTCGAGTGAACAGCAAGACGACACGTCAGACGAGGCAGATTCAAAAGCAGCAGCCAGCGCCACGTCATCATCGACCTCGAACAAACTGAAAATGACGGCGTCACAGTCGCTCGTGGAGCGCACCAAGTCCTTGGCCTCTAAAGAAGAAGAAGGGCAAGCAATGCAAATAGATTCACTGCCCGATAAAAAGACGGTTATATCCTCACTGGAGTCGAACTTGGGAGAGGGTGGAAGGATGACACGAGCGAGGGCTCGGAGGACGATGGGCAGTGGTTCTGTTAGCTGAGTAATAGATATTATGGAGTTTTGGTTGTGAAATTGGACAGGTAGTGTTTTATGGAGTGTTTATGTTGATGTATATCTTGGTTACTGAATGTTGATTGTTGTCGCTAACAAATGATATAAAACCCAGTTTGGGATTGAAAAAACGATTGTTATGTAGGGCACCCCTTAATTTTTTTTGGGTAAGATATTTATTGTCAAAGAATTATCAAATTATTTTCTAAAAAGTAAAACAATCACCTTACAATTAGACACAGACTACGATCCGGAACCGGTATTACACTGGTTCGGAACTGGCTCGTTGTTATCAGGTCTTGAACCGAGCTCATGGTTTGACTGGTACTACACTAGTTCGGAACTGACCTGACCTGTTGTTATCAGGCCTTGAACCGAGCTTATGGCTTGATTGGTACTACACTGATTCGAACTGGCTCGTTGTTATCAGGCCTTGAACCGAACTCGTGGATTGACTGGTATTACACTAGTTCAGAACTGGTCCGTTGTTATCAGGCCTTGAATTGAGCTCATGGATTGACTGGTAGTACACTGGTTTGGAACTGGCCCGTTGTTATCAGGCCTTTGAACCGGAGCTCATGGTTTGACTGGTACTACACTAGTTCGGAACTGACCCGTTGTTATCAGGCCTTGAACCGAGCTCGTAGATTGACTGATAGTACACTAGTTCGGAACTGGCCCATTTTTATCAGGCCTTGAATCGAGCTCGTGGATTGACTGGTATTACATTGGTTCGGAACTGGCCCGTTGTTATCAGGCCTTGAACCGAACTCGTAGATTGACTGGTACTACACTAGTTCGGAACTGGCCCGTTGTTATCAGACCTTGAATCGAGCTCATGGATTGACTAGTAGTACACTGGTTCGGAAATGGCCCGTTGTTATCAGGCCTTGAATCGGAGCTCATGGTTTGACTGGTACTACACTGGTTCGGAATTGGCCCGTTGTTATCAGGCCTTGAACCGAGCTCGTGGATTGACTGGTACTACACTCGAAACTTGCCCGTTGTTATCAGGTCTTGAATCGAGCTCGAGGATTGACTGGTAGTACATTGGTTTGGAACTTGCTCGGGCCTTGAACCGAGTTCATGGTTTGACTGGTACTACACTGGTTTGGAACTAACCCGTTGTTATCAGGCCTTGAATCGAGCTCGTTGATTGACTGGGCCGGTTTTGGGCCAAATATATGTAATGTTTTTAACTGCCGGGCCGGTTTTGGCAATTAGATCAAAACACATGGATACATTGGTGTGTGTGTGAAATCCGATGGCTAAAACCTTCTTGGAGGCTAGGATCTAAGCTTCCCATCATATCAAGAGGAATTCAATACAAGAACAGAAAGCAAAGAATTAAATATCTTTAGAATAACTAAGAAAGAGTTAAATTAGTTTACAGTTAAAAGTATACTTTTGAGTTCCCAGATCTGAGGAAACCTATCGAAAAAAGCTCCATCAGTAGACTTCCTTATTATTGTCAACTTAAAAGAAATCCATAATTTGTTTAATTCAGAACTCTTATGTTTCTACTTAACCACCAAGGATTTCACAACATATATCTATATCTACCCAGCTTTCATCAAAATCCATTTTCCTCAGAGGAGGCAAAAACATATTATCAAGAAAATATATACAAAGTCCAATAGTAGTAACTTTGTTCTTGTATTTTCCCTTATGTAGGTTAGAAATTAGAAATCTCGACTCGTTTTCTTTCAAGTCCACAAATCTGATGTACGCACCTCGTCATCTGATCTCAACCAATAATCATCGTCCACCTGCAAATACCGAAGAAACTCAATAATTAAGAAGATGAGCATTCATAACCAANAAACGTAAAATTCGCTAACCAAAGCCTGAAATAGAACTTACGCCAATATCCATCGGGACTATTTTTTGGGGTCCATATGAGTCTGAGTTTGTTAAAGCATCATGACTCGGAGACTGATCCCCACCATCAACTTTACTGCATTCGGCCAATTCCATCGAATCCAATAATTTTGTTCGCTTGATTGATATGTCCTTGCTTTTCTTTTCATTTTTGCTGATAATTTTTTTTATATATATATTTTGGTTGTCAGAGGTTTACACGAATATTGATCCGGTAAGAATTTATCTTATGCATAATGTGGTCCATTACTAGAATACATTAAGAAAATATATTTTATTTAATTATTTATTTATTTTACTTTCTTTTTTTAGCTACAAAATCATTCATAACTTGCAATGCAATGCATTTACCTCAGAAGATATACACCGATTGGTCCAGTGGTGCTTCTTACAATAAGTCTATACTGCTTCTGACAAAAGCCAATGTCCTGTGGGCATAAAATACAAAATAAGAAATCAAAATGTCATTGAAATTTGCCGGCAAGGATTAACAAAAATACCAACCGAATCTGGATCCGGCACTTCAATAAAGCTTGCACGAGGAGCTTCGATTGCAATGACAGTTTGGTTCTGTGAAAATCACCATAGAATTTCAATCACAAAAATGATTGACCATCCAAAACAATTTTACAAGGAAAAGAACAATTATCTAAAAAAAAAAAATTCATATACCTTTTTGACATATTTTCAATTCTACAAACTGTACTTGCCTCATTCGTCAAAATAAACATAAATATTAATGGTAGCATCGGCAATGTCTCAAGGGAAGCTTTGTAATTTTATAAGATAACCCTTTTTTTTTCTTTGCAAAGAGACAAAAACTTGAGAATAGCTTTTGTACTTATATTGCAAACCTTGAGTTGTGGAAGGCTCATTATATCTTCCTCGGTCAAGAAAAGATTTCTGCAGGCGTTCCAAGTTTATTATAGTTGGAAATCAAACCTCCCATTAATAAACAGAAAATGAAAAATATTATCATGGATAAATAAGCTCCATACTTCTGACAATCATGGTTTAACATCAGTTCCCTTAAGCTCTCCAGTTTATCCCTGAGTGATGATCAATTGTCAGCAAATCAACTTAATCTATTCAATTGTGAGAATTCTGTTCCTACAATATTTTTTTTACCTTATGCAATTATCAAGCCTGCGATCTTCTTCGGATAAATGTTCAATCTCAGCCTGTCAAGATAGGAAGATAATATGTTGCTAGATTCAGATAGAGCAAAAAATTCATGCCAAGTCCTTTTCATGTAAACCGTCAAATACAAAATAGAGTTTAAACTCCAAGTCCCAAATCCAAAGTGATTTTCATCTCTGCATTCAATATTTCGATTATTTTTAAGTTAGTATTCAGATCTTTCACTATACATTCTATATATGTGAGTTTCATTAACTAAAGATGTAAAGTACTAAAAGTGCACCTTCAAGTGAGAGACTTGATCGTTCAGCTCTTTATGATTTCCATAACCCCTGTCACAATTCAACACCATGGATTAAAA